AATCTGAAATATAAACTTTTTGTGAATTTGTGTGTGTGTATATATGGTAGTAGTAAGTCCATAGGACAATATGAAGAACGCTAAGTGTAGATGTTCATTTGGATGATTAATGTTTTTTCCTCAAATAAAAAAATTTTCTTTTTCTCTAAAAATATTAACACAATCCAATATAAAATGCTAATAAGTAGTTTCAAATCAAGAAACAATAGTTGTTTAAACTGATTGCAAATGTGTGATTTATCTTGGATGTGAAGAGAACTTGGGCTGTAATTTTGCTTCTATTATTGTGTACCTTGTCTCTGGCTTCTGGTTTGCAAAAGATTATTCTCTAAAAGAATATACATAAGGGGCCCCCTCTGTTTGGTGAGACCATAGGTTTATGTGGTCTCGGGATTATCACAAAGTGAAGCACAAGGCCTGGGAAGACGCCCATAGGAATGAGGGGCCCTGCAGCCTGACCCTCATCATTTTATGGTGATCCCCTGATCATAAGTAAGTGTATAGAGGACCATAAGCCTGGAAAGTAGAGTCTAATTGATCTTGTACTGAGAATTCTGAATATACGAGGGTATAAGCTGAGTGAATAAAGATGTGTTCTCTCATATCACATTAGCAAATGAGAGGCTGGTTGACCTTCAGGCATGGGTAAATGACCCAGGCTGCTTGATAAAACTGCTGTTCTGTCTCATATACACAGATTCTGATTCACCGAGTCTGCAGCGAGGCTCAGAACTCTCCAGTATTGAAAAGCAAGACAGCCAATCGTTACAAACAAGTAAGTTTAGGAGACACTGCTTCACACAGAGGTTAGGAACGGTCAGTGGAGACAGGCTAACTGATCCATTCATAAAGAGCTTAGGTAAATTCTGCAATTATAGATTTGTTGGTGGTGATTTAAGAACTTTCAAAATGTTGACCTACAAGCTAAATTTTCAACATCAACATCAATTCATCCTAAAAACTGTTTAAGAGCAACATGAGCTCATCCAAAACACTTTCCTTGAATACAGGCAATGAACAGTGGTCTAATTTAGAAAATTGCTTTCTTAAAATTTTTTACAACCATGCAACCATGCTGCTATTACCTCCCAACCCCCACCTCTATGCTGGTCCAAGCCACCAACGTGTCTTGATTAGATCATTAAATATTCTCCTAACTGGGGTTTTTTGTTCCTGTTTTTGTACTTTTCTTCATCTTGCATAATATGTATTTCACTGATATATTTGATTTATCCTGGGCCTCTTGTCTCCCCATTAGAATATAAGCTTCGCTGGAGCAGATAATGATGTCTCCCGGTACAATTTTGTTCCTATCACATATAAAATGCCTGGTACATAGTGAGAGCTCCGTAAGTATTTTTGAATGAATACTTTTATTCAATGAATATTTTTGAATGGCTGAATAAAACGATCTAGGAATAATTTCCAGGGTAACAAGAATTATCTAGTAGAGATGCTGAACGTTTGCGTAATAGTCACAATTTATTAGTTTTTAAAATATAATTGAATAACTAAATAATGCTATGTGCTGAAGAGCAGCCTCACCCTATCCTTGCGTCTGTTGTCTCCTCCTCCCCCGAACAACCTCCCTAGGTTCCTCTTGTTTGACTCCTGTATGGCATCAGAAAACTCTCTACCGCTCTATACTTTCTGGTTTGGATATAGACACCCTGCCTTCAAAGGGTTGGTTCCACCACTAGTTATCACCCTGGCTCTATTGTGTAGTAAGAAGCATGATAGGAATCTCAGCTTTTTAGCAATTTCCCTCATGTTTTAGAGAGGCACGCTCATTATTATGGTATTATTCACAAGGTGAATGAAAGGTGTGTGGACCAAATAGAGAGGGGATAAGGAGTCTGGCTAAGGCTTTACTGAAGCTGCTAGCCATGGACCTATTTTATTGGGTACCATTGTTTCTAACATATACCAGAATTATTTGGTACAAATAAAGGTGCTCATTCTAAGCATGCCCTGTTGTTCTATAGGTAATTTAAGTGACAATTATGGAAAAGAGAGAAAGCCGTCTGTCGCTCATGTCAATTGGAGTCCATCCTAGATCAATATGTCTGTCCAAATACTACTTTGGGGTAACTGAAGCAGTGTAAAACTGGCTCGCTCCTTTGCTATCATTTTATCTTGTTTTTTTTTTTTTTTTAACAGACTCATCAATTTCCTGCTTGACTTCCTTGGTAGGACCTGTTATTATCTACCTTTTCATCATTGAGCTAGAAATCACCTCCACTTTAACCATCAAGACTGCGATTAACCAAGAAAATTTTATCACCAAGGAATGTGATGTTTGGAACCAAAGAGCTTAGATCTGTGAAGATTTTCAGGAACACATGTCATCTCATAGTATTTATGTCACTAAATGACATGGAGTGGATTTAAGAAGTGTGGTAAATTGTATACCCTCAGGAAATACGTTTTATTGACTTTCTGCTTTAGAGATTATATGAATCTTTGGGCTTTTCTTACATTGCTTTGTTAGCATTATTTTGCTCAAGTAATTAAAGTCACAGTTAAACAAATGTTTTAGCTAAACCACACAAATCAATCCCAAAAGATGATTAGAATTCTATGGCTTCAATTTATACGATGTTTGCTGGAGTGCCTTATTCTGTTAAGAGGGGGAATTGGATCACGTAGCCCTCTGTGGAATTTTTATTTTGTTTAATTGTATTTTTACCAGAGCATTTTCTGTGCATAGTTTAAAACGGCAGAGTACTCAAAAGCATCAAACAAAAACCACAATTCCTTGTACTAAACATAACACTCATACCCCAGACTCCAGAAGAAACAACTTCCAATTCGTTATCTGTTCTAATATAAACATAGCAGTTACCAAATAATACTTTTATAAGCTCTTCTGCTTCTCGTATGGCTACTGAGAAGTCCAATGTCCTTCGGGTCCTTCATGTGAGGACCTGAACTTTTCTCCCTCCCTTTGGAAGCTTTCGGGATATTCCTTTTCTCTATTGCTTTGCGGTCTCACGAAGGATGTGACTTTGTGTGTGTGTGTCTTATTGTGTTGAACATTTTCCACAACTTTCACTGTGAAAACACCTTCTTTAGTTCTGGAATTTTATTTTTTATGTAATTTTTAAATAATTTCTTCAGATCCATTTTCCTCCTTTTTTCTCTTTCTGTAACTTATGTTGGTTGGACTAACTGTATTATCTAATTTTCTTGTCATTTCTCTCCTATTCTTTTGTCTGATTTTTATTCTTCTGTATGTGATATTTTCTCAACTTTATTGTCATCTTTCTAATGATTTTTGTCTGTAATATATATTTTTTTAATTTCCAAAGGCTTTTTGTTATTATTTTTGTTCCTTTTTTATAATAAACTGTTTCGTGTTGGGGACAAAATATCTTCTCACTTCTCTGAGTATATTGACTATAAATTTTCTCCTTTACTCTTTCTTTTCCTTTTTTTTTTCTTTTTGAGGAAGATTAGCCCTGAGCTAACATCTGCTGCCAATCCTCCTCTTTTTGCTGAGGAAGACTGGCCCTGAGCTAACATCCATGTCCATCTTCCTCTGCTTTATATGTGGGATGCCTGCCACAGCATGGCTTGACAAGCGGTGCCATGTCAGCACCCAGGATCCAGGCAGGCAAACCCCTGGCCGCCGAAGCAGAACATGCAAACTTAACCACTGTGCCACCAGGTTGTCCCCTCCATTTTCTTTTGTTCTGGTTTCTTCTTCTCATGTCAGAAAGTTTTGTCAAATACATCTTGATCTTTTGTTTACTGAGGTATCTCAGTGTCTAGAACAGTAGTTGACTCAACAAATATTTGTTGAATGAATAAATGAATGAATAGATGAATATTTGGCAGTCTTTCTTATTTAAAAAGGACGTACTGAAAATCTAATAAGAATTCCTAGGAGCATGGATTGACTTTGTCAGCATCTGTTTTACTCTGGAGTGGTCACAGGGAGAGATGGACCATCTGGTTTGATGACCTTCAGACATCAGTATCTGTGGACCTTTTCTCTTGAGCCTGTTCCTAAAAGGGGTGTCTAATCTCTGGCTTGATGGGAATAGGGAAAGGTAGTTCTGCCTTCTAGAATCTGTAACCTGAGTTGGGAAAAGATGCTACAGGATCCCTCTCTTCATTATCTAGACTTTTCCTTAATCCCAGTGTTTTCAGAATGTTGACTCACCCTGATTTGCCATACAGAGTCCATGTCCCTAAATCCAGTCTCTCTGTTTCAATTTCTCTAGGGAGGAAAGCCCCATTTCCCGCTGGGCTGAGGGAGGGGTATTTTCCTCTATGGGGGGAGGAGGGGCAAGGATATTTAGAGATTACCCTGCTTCTTATAAGCACTTTCCACTAAACAGTGTACACACCTCAGCACCGCTTCTCACCCCACTCTCAGAATGGGGTGATTTAGTATAGAAAATTAGAGGATGCTTAGTTACATTTGAATTTCAGAGAAACAGTGGAAGTTTTTTTTTAGAATAAGTATGTCCCATGCAATATTTGGGACATATTTATGCCAAAAAAATGTTATTTAATTTTCAAATTTCACTGAGTGTCTTCTCTTTCACCTGGCAACTCTACAGGAGGCACCTGCTGCCTTTGATGCCTAAGCTCTTCTTGAGTATTTGCTATGCATGCAATTGGGTTTTACTAGCTTTCTCCTCACCTGGCATCTGGATTTCAGCTTTCTCTACTCTGAAAGTCAGGCAGCGTTCATCCACACACTTTTCACCCTCCTAAAATACTGTTGATATAATTCACCTGCTTTCTTTTCCGTTCTGTTCTCTATGTGTTAGAGAATACATACCTTTTATTCACTTATGGTCTTTCGGTTGGAACTTTTGGAGAGAGTGGCAATTAACAAATATATTTCATGTGACAAGTTTAGCTAGATGTCTTTGTGATTATTTTAAAACTTTGAGACTTAGTTTCCAAGATATTCCTCCACATAATATTTGGCATTTTTCTAGAATAATTGTCTAGGAGAGAATGAATAAACAGAACTAGCATTTTATTACTCCATGATATTTCTTTTAGCTTTAAATGCAAATTGTAAAATAACTAAAACCTATAGAAAACTTTTGTTTTCATATCCAATTAAACTACTTAAGGTGAACAATTAAATATTTTGACTTGACAAAGTTGTTTAAACAGATTTGATATGGATCACTAAATTATATGATGCACGTGTGTGGAAAATAGAAATAGTTTTGATACGCACGCTTCTTGTCACACAAATAAGGATGCAATCAGTAGTTTCAAACCTAAACAATAAAGTCAGGATTGATTTTACACTGTCAAAGGAATCTTTAACAGAAATAGATTTTCATATATTTGCACGTAGCAAACTCAAATATACATGAGCATCCTTAGTAAATTAAATGGATTGTTTTATTTGTCTTGAGGAGACATTACAGTACATGCTCCAGAAGATAAATGAAGAGAGTTGAAATCCAGCCCAAGAGTGAGCATTTGTCAAATCAAAATTGAAGGCAGCAGGCAGTAAATTGGATTTTCTTTTACAATAACATGTAGTTCACCTTCTATCACTGTAACAAATATTATAAAATATACTTTATGACATCACATCTTTCATCTACTTTTGTTGCTGAAATTTTGAGAATAAGATGGGGCTTTATTGTTGCTATACCACAATTCACTGTTAGGTGTGCAAAGTGTGTTTCCTTAAGGATGTGTTTTTCCACAGAGAAAATATTAGCCATCAATTGTCATCTCGGATGTGGAATCAATAGCATTCTCAGTTCTCAGCTCAGCTTCAAAGGAGTCTCTGAACTGTGGAGTGAGCCGGCTGGAGGTGCTAGTCGTCTTTCGGAGCCCAGCAGTTCTCAACGGCAGGGAAGGACATGAATTGGCAATTTCATTGTATCTTTTTTTCCAGATGCTAAACAATAAAAGTAAGAATGAGGAACATAATAACACTACCTCTTTCATCAAATTTCAGAAAGTGTCTCCTAACTCTGGTGATGTGTAAGAATACATTACAAATAATTAAAAAAGTACTTTCCACAGGAATTTTGTAAAATTTATATCGTAATTTTTTGGTATTTGATAATCAGATGCTAAACAATTTCTGGTCAGTGACTGAAAGCATCTGCTGATTCTCACCTCCTCTTCAAGAGACAGAAATGCAGCTCCCCTGAGACAGCATTCTTAAGCTAATGTGAGGTATTTGACACAAAGTGTTCTAAAAATTGAAATAGCATCCAGTACTAAAAACTAAAAATACAATTTTTTTGGAACGATTTGCCTTTGTAAAGAGAAAGCATTAGTATATCTGTTGAGTTTCTACTATGCTTCAAAGTCTAATCTGCTAATTTTAGACCGGTTCATTTCATGCAACTCTCGCAATCCTCCACACGTGGTGAGGACTTTCACTGCCGTTTCCCAGACCAGAACAATGGTGTGTAGAGAGGTAATTAGCCTTTCAATGTTTAGCAGTAAGAAGTGCTGCAGAAGGGATTTGAGCCAAGGTAGACTGATTTGAAGTCCGTGCTGGTCCACTACAGTGCACTGAGTCACACGTAGAACATGGTTCAATCACTCATCCATTCATCCATTTTTGAAAGGACAAGTACTTAGAAGAATTTAAACACCCACTTGCCTGGTGATTGATAAGGATATTTTTGTATTTATCTGAAAGCTTTGGGGGGATTATTTGTCATGATTGGAATATTGAGATGTTTTAAATGATCTTGAAGAGATTAAATTTATCTATTTACTGAGGAGCTAAGTCATAACATGGAGGAGATATAGGTAGATAGAGGGATAGATAGATGGGGAGATACGTAGATATAGATACAGAGGAAGAGAGGTGGCATTTGGAGTGACTGTGATGAGCACTCGGGGGACAGATGTGTTCATGAAAGGAAATCGCCCATATGGTGCCTCTTCCAGAGACTTCAGCAAAGACTCAAATTACTTTATAGTATTAATTACTTTTAACATTGCTTTTGAATATGACACCATTAGGTGACTAACCATAAGGAGGCACAGATTTTATTAGGGTAATATTGAGTGTTTATTAGATACCAAGCATAGTTCTAGATGTTAGGAATACGAAGATGAAAAAAACAACATAATCTCTGCCTTCATGAAGATTTCAGATTAGTAAGGGAGGCATAATAAACAAATAGGCAAATAACAACAGAGTCTCAATTTTTCTAAGAGTTATTGAAGCAAAATGCAGTACATTTTAAGTAAAGATGATGGGAGGAGGGATATTTTAGGTTAAGGAGGCAAAGGCCACATTTAGGAAATGACATTTAAGCACAAAACTGAAAGAGTATAAAGGCAAGAGCATTCTGGGCAGAGGAAGAAACGAGACTGCTTAGGCAGGTAGGAGTCAAAGCCAGCAAAGCCTAGAATTGAAATGTTAACACCCTATCCTCCTCTTCCACCTACTGTGTGCCAAGCACTGCTCCAGGTGCTAGGAATCTAACATTGAATGTTACAGAGTCCCTGCCCCGATGGGGCTTCTATTCCAGGAGAAAAAAATAGCCAAGAAAATAAATACATATATATGCATACTGGGGGCTAAGTGGTATAAAGAAAGTCACAGCCAAGCAATGGACTGGACTGGAGCAGGGGTGAGGCCAAGTTATAGCCAATAAGCTGAATGGGGCCCAAGGCCTGATTTTGCACAGCCTGCCAAGTAAGAATTCTTTCTATACTTTAAAAGTATTGTAAAATAAGCAAAAAAATATGCAACAGAGACTGTATGTGGTCTGTGTGGGGATCAGAATTTGCCACTCCAAAGTGTGTCTCTCTGGTGTGATTATTTTTAAGAACAAAGACTCAAAAACTTTCACCTTCCCCCTAACTGCCTAAATGAACTTCATATAGAAGACCTGTCTCAGGAAGGAGCCATACTAGAAGATAACTGAAGTAAAACATAAACTACGTGGAAGAGACAGGGAGGAACCCAGGAAGGCCCATTTGATCAAAGTCCTCCCTGTGTGCTATTGTTTTTGCAAGGTATGACAAACATTCGTTGGCCAAATATTTGCTTTTCCATCTCCATGTGAATTGCCTCTCTCCCCTTTGAGGTTCCAAACCACTGTCCCCAACATCCTCCTTTGTCTTTAGCTGAAGATGGTATTTAAGGTGGTGGCTTCAGCCATTTTGGTGAGTTAGTTTTCCTGGGTTTCTCCCATGTATACATATTATTCAACTTATTTGATTTTCTCCTGTTATTCTGTCTCATGCTAATTTAATTCTTAGTTCAGCAGAGGCACCTTGAGAGTAGAGGAATAGTTCTTGCTCCCCTATGCCTGTGATAACTAAAATATTCACTACTTCACCCCTTACAGAAAATGTTTACCAACATGAGCCCTGGATTGGAGAGAGGCAGGGGGTGCTATTTTTGATTGCATGGTGAGGGAAGTCCTCCTGATTTCTGAGCAAAGATCTCTCGAAGGTGAGAGAGTATGCTTTCTCCTACCTGGGGTGATCTGTAATAGAGACAGAGAGAACAGAAAGTGCAAGCCTGAGATGAAAACAGGGCTGTGTGCACTAGAAAAGCTAATAAACCAATGATATTGGAGCAATGAGTGATAAATGATTTCGGAGAAGAAGCCAAGAGTAATATTATGTTGGGCTTTATCAGGATTTTGGATATTATTACAAGTGTGATGGGAAGCCTTTGGATGGCTGACAGCAGGGAAGTCATATGATCTAATTAAATTGTTAGATGAATAGCTGTGTAGAAAGGAGGCTCTGGGGCCAGGGTGGCAGCACGGAGACTGGCCAAGCGGCTGTTATGATTGTGGAGAGAGAGGTGATGATGGCTTGCCCTAAGGTGGGAATAGAGGAAGAGGACAGGAGAGAAGTGGTTGTATTCAGGATATATGATTTAATCAGACCAGATAGAATTTTATTATAAATTAAATGTAGTAAGTATCAAAGGTGTTTTTCTGTGAAGGGGGACAGAAAAATATGGCAGTGGCTGTAAGAAGACATGTGATCATGGGTATTTTATTTTATTTTATCACTTAATGCGATTAAGCATCTTTGAGAGATGGTGAGAATAATTCTATACAGAAGAGAAGAAAATCCATTTGAAGGAGAGAGAGAAGATAATTGTTAAGAGTTGAATTCTTCAGTAGGCTGGAGGAGATAGGACTCGTTGAAAAATTGGTGAAGTTTATCTTAAGTAACAGCACAGGCAGCACATCTGTTTTAATTGAAGAGAAGGCAGAATGCTTATGTGCATGTGCTTATTGATAGTGGGAAGATGGAGAAGGTAACACTGATTACTTTAATTCTGTGAATTTCTAAGCAAGGTCATTAGCTGAATGAGGGGGAGCAAGTAGTGTTAGTGGTAAAAGGCAAGGGAAAAAATGTGAAATGCATAGCTTGGAAAGAGGGAGAGTGAATTTGCTAGCAGCATAGAATGGGATTACTGTAACGATATAAGGAATATTATTCAGAGCTAACATAGCAGAACACTTGCTGCCCAGCAAAATTTAAATTTGCATCCCTAACACTCTAAAACTACCTTTCCAGTAGTCATTAGTTTCATGTAGCTATTGGGTACTTGAAATGTAACTAGCATGAGTTATTTGTGTGCAAGTGGGTGTGTGCATGCCCACGTGTGTTATGGGCATGGAGGATCCCAGGCATATTGTGTGTATGTTACATTATATTCTCAATTGTATATATGAGACTATTTCGCACCAGAGTAAAACTTGAGAGACAAAGTGTGAGGGGGCACATATACACACGGTACATAGAAAGGGAGATAAATTTGCACTATTATATCTATCGAGTGCTTACCATGTGTCAGGGGTTTTATGAGTGGCATGTTTCATTTAATCCTCACAAAACTCTTAAGATAGACATTGTTAGCCCCTCTTTAAAAAGCTCAAGGAAATTACAATTAAGGAGCATAGCAGCAGCAAAGTGGCAGATCCAAGATTCAAAACCAGTCTGTCCTTCCCAAGGACTATATGCTTTTCAACTAGAACACGCTGCAAAATTCTTTTCCATAAAGGCAAAACTAAAATGTTTCTAGAAGCAGAGCCTCCCCCACTCCCAGGGTTCTTCATCCATCAGGAGTGTTGGTCTCGCTTGGAGGCCCCAAAGTCAAGCCTGCATTACCCAATCCCACTTTTTCCTGTGACCTTTATTAAAAAGTTAAGAAAATACGAGAGCCGATTTCAGAGTTGTCTTTGGATACACGTGCAAAACAAATGAACAGCATGGAGGGTGGAGGGGAAAAGTCTTGTTAGGACCATTCCCATCCCTTGGGTGTGGGCTTTCTTGGGTGACTGGGTCATGAACTGGGCCAGGCGCCCACACTGAGCTCAAAACAACTGTGCTTTGAAGTTGCGTATTTTCGGGATCTTTCCTTTCTTCCTTTATAGGCTTACAGGGAAGAAAATCTGTTAGATGACATGCAACCTGCCCTTTCAGAGCTCCTCAAGGACCCCGGGGATTTTGCAGCCATCTGGAATTTGCTGTCATGCTGTGATTTCTGCAGGTTTGTTTAACTTTTAATCTCTCCAGTCACATCTTTTATTATTCTCTCTATGCATAATTTTTGCATTATATAGTCTTTTTTTTTAAACAGTGGGCTGAAATTGCTCAATTTAATCACAAATGCGACTCCGAAAGGATTCAATGTCTTGAAAGTTATTTCCCTCCTTTCTCACATTTTTATAAAAAAATGTTTGGGCTGCAGCAGATTTGTTGCTCAGAAATTAAATTCTGTCCTCCAAAGGAACGCAGTGTAGAGCAGAGTTCAATGAGGGCTACATGCTTTCAGGATTCATTATTAGCAGCCAGGATAACTTTAATTTCTCTATTTATTTACTAGCTGTATTTTCCTAAGTGTTAACACCCTTGGATTTTAGCTGTTTCTCATGTTCCTAAATCTTAGAA